CCAAAATATACACTATTGTAATTTTCTTAATATATGGAATTTCAACAAACATGAGACTTGCACCATTTTTAACGTTATTTCTATTCCAGATATTTAACCAAAAATGTTGGACCGTTTTGAAACGTTTTGAAAATGACCGAGGGTCGAAAGTGTGGCGTTGTGCAGACGGTGACGACGCAGCTGCCGCCCACGCCCGCCAAGTTCCACTACATCTTCAACCTGCGCGACATGTCACGCGTGGTGTCCGGGCTGTGCCTCAGCGCGCCGCAGCACTTCCCGCTGGCGGGCGACGTGGCGCGCCTCTGGCACCACGAGTTCCAACGCGTCTTCATGGACAGGCTCATCAGCGAGAAGGTATCACACAGCCCCACACGTTGCTTTGTCATCACTTCCCGCTGGCGGGCGACCTAGAACTGGTATTTTTCAACTATTTAGAAGTTTGGTTTTCTTTAAAATTAACTCATCAATCTCCTTTTACCACTAAATAAACATTTTACCCCCTTGTTTACAGTTAGTCAAACACAAAATTACTGTAAATATTTTTTTAAGGAAATTGTACATCTACGGCTCGTGAAAGTTTGTGGTTCTAAAAATATGAGAATTTCCTTCTGGTTCTGTACAGGATCTGTTCTTAATGAAGGAGAACATCGCAGCGACAATAGAGAAAATATTTCCTGTGTATCTCGAGGATATGCTTCGCGAGCCGTTGCTGTATGGAGACTACAGAAACTTCTTGAACAATCCGGATCATCGGCCGTACGAAGATTTGTTAGATTATGACGCAGTGTATGCTATCGTTCAAGAGGTAAGTGTAGTGCACTGACTAATATCAATTCTGTACGTTCATTTAACCTGTCCAAAAAGAGTAATGATTGGTATATCTGCTAGAGGAAAAAAGCATCTTATAAATAGCCTGGAGTTTGAAATTATATTTATAATTTTAAACTTCAGACACTAATGTTGCTGACTTAATTTACAATCTATGATAACCTTATTCAGGCCTGCGTGCTAAAAGAACAACACAATATCGTCTTTACTTGCTGTTCATTACTTGCAAATCTAACACGATTGTGATTTGAAACCGCACAAGATGCAATTCTTCAACATTATTTTCCTTCTCGGAGTAAACATTTCCCGCATATTTCGATTCTATAAATGGTAGTTATAATTAAACTCTCTCTAGAGTCGGATATATCTGATCATAATAGTAATAATAAAATGTATTATTTTTATTATTATTATTATTATTATTATTATTATTATTATTTTAAAAATGATTATTTCTTGTTAATGAGCCTTCGCTCGATTGTAGTGTTTATACAGAGCATGCAAAGACATACAAAAACAAAGATTAGGACAATATTCTTCAATGAGCTATGATAGCTATTATTCACGTGTTGTTGTTTACGACACGAGCGACGTAGGGGCGAGTGACAGAATTTCTACGAGTGACTGAGTCGAACGTATACGTTCTGTGTGACCTTGAAATATTCAGAATATATTTTGAACAGGTTTTGCTTTATTTGAAATCCAAGAATAAGGATTACCTACATCAAAAGGTGTTGAAATACAAGATACTACTTAATAAGTCTGAAATTATTGTAATTGTAGTGCTGTCGAATCCACTATTTCATGAATTTAAGATGGAGTACGAATTTCATTGTCACTCGCTGACTTCAAGATTAATTTTGTGTTGAATGCTCAATGCGAAACTTAACGGGGAGTACAAGTACTGCGACCTCTGTCTTCTGCCGCTAACGTGCCATTCATTACACACGATTTTCTCGGTGAGAAAAATACACCGACCCGACTATCTGAAGTACGCATCCACTGTATGGCGGTGGGACCTATCACACCACGCAGTGGTTCACTACGTGGAAGGGTGTAGCAGCCCGTTGCAATTGCTTATGGTATAGATTTGTACTTGATGACAAAGAAAAGTGTAGAATTATGAATGTAATGATCTCAGGGAAGTAGTTTGATGTTGGAAATAAAAAAGGTTAGAATAAGAAATGAAGACAAGATTGAAAATTCAACATACACAGTACAATTTTAAATCAATTAGTACGCTATTCTATGAAAGAGCACAAAAGGAGAAAATAGAAACACAAAAATATGCACCGACAAGCATACATACACAAAACACTTGAAACTGTAAAATATTGAAATAACTCTTTTGAAAAATAATTTAAAACACATATAACCTTAAAAATAATATACTGTCCCTAAAGGATTCTCCCCAAATACAACAATTTTAGCTACACAATTTTACATCACACTTCACTGGTGAAGTTTTTGAAATACATTACTTCCCACTAATTTCTCACACTCTTTTGGAATAATTAATGACACAATCGTTATATTAATGGAGTTGGTTTGATTCAGTTTACTAATTCTTGTTTTCAGATAGCCAAATTATGCAAAATGACATCATAAACTGCAATTTAACACGTTCAATTTAAATCAAGTTACACTGATAAAGAATACATTTTTTTTATAAAATGAGATATTAACAGCAAAGTTGCATAACAAAAATGTACAAAATAAATTGTTTCTACCCACGATATTTTTACAAACCAAAATGTTGAAATTTGTAGAATCCTGTTGTCCCTGGATCGCTCCTCTTCTCGGATGATAAATTTCGAGCGTCGTCTTTGCCAATTTTCTCGTAGTGGTGAAGTTCGGCTTTCGCTCTCACTGGCAGAATGCAAATCCGTGATCCAGCCGTCCGTGGAAATGCTATCCGGGCCACGTTTCGATATGAACACGTAGGTGGATCTATACTTTAATTGCAAATCAACCCCATTGAATTTAATATTATACCATTCCCGACACCGTGTGACGCTGTTGTTGCAAAGATGATATTCCAGACATATAATTATTGAATCAGGAAAGTTAAACCATTTTTTTAAAAGCTGTGGAAGAGCAAACGTAGGGTGAACATAATCCTTTTACACAGCTTTCACATGCGAAAACGTTCATATAATTTCAAGAATTATTAAACATCATGAACAGTATTATAATCAGAATAATTACATGTTGCGAAGAGCCTTTTCGGAACGATTTACAGGCACATTTTAATAGATTTACGTTGGTCCGTCTTTACTGTCGTCGGGAACGTTCTGTCCACTAAGCTGCTTCTAGTTGAAGTGGGGGGCGATCCATTCTTTTCCTCTGGCGCACGTGCGTGTGTGCTTGCGTGCAGATCCTGGAGGACTACAACGAGCACAACGCGCCCATGTCCATCGTGCTGTTCGACGACGCGCTGGAGCACCTGACGCGCTCGCACCGCGTGCTGCGCATGCACCGCGGCCACCTCATGCTCGTGGGCGTCGGCGGCTGCGGCAAGCAGAGCATCGCGCGCCTCTCCGCCTACATGGCCGGTCAGCGCCCATTCACTCCCGTCTATTGAAATGGACACGAAACGTTGTATAGATTTTGCCCTTATTTTTTCAGTGCCTTTTTATATTAAAAATCTCATTTGTATTAAATGTAACAAGGAACTTGAAATGTATCCAAATTAGGAAGGCAGCAATGCAAACTATAGCAGATCGAACTTAACAATAATAAGTCGCTTTTGTTAATTGAAATGGACACGGAATATTTTATCTTTATATTTTTCGGTCCCTTTTTATATTTAATCAGTAATTTTCAGTAAATACAGGTGTACGGGAAAGAGACTTCCAAATTTCGAAAATAAGCTCTTGAGACAATCTAAGTGTGTGTGTGACATGAAGATCCACGTTCTCAATATTTTGTGGGCTTTATTTCGTTCGAAAACCTGATCTTTGTTCCAATCGAAGAGAGACAGAATACTTTTAACTTTAATTATATTACAAAGAGTGTGTATGAAAATTCACCTCTTGACGTATTGCCTCTTTTTCTTCAGGAAAGGGATTTCCCCCTCCATCCAATCTTTTGCATGATTTCGCAGCACATGTAATCAACAGACCTGGAGCGAATGACGTGGTTCCACAGTAAAGTACTGGCTAGTAGTCGGTGTAAAAGCGTAGTCAGCCTATAATGAATTTAGCTTCATATTCTTTATAAATGTCATTTTTAATACTTAGTTCTCAGTAATTCGAATATTTCAACAACATAGTTCTCATAAAAACTGACTGGAGTCCGTATATCAGATTAATGTTTTTCGCCTCGGTGGGTGAGGAGTTAGCTCTGAACCCTAGTGCGCGGGTTCGATCCCGGCCGAAGTGCGTAGATTTTCGAAGGCCGAAAATTGCACAGTGACCATGTCATTCTTGTGCCATGTAAAGTAACCCTGGCGGTATGGCAGGCAAAATTTAATCCCTCCGACAATATCCCGCCCTAACGAGATTTCACTTTTTCCCAAGCAGATAGCTCGTAGGTAGTTAACTAAGACCGACATACGACGGAGAACGTGAGAGTCCAGCCCAGGCGCACCAGGGGTCGCCCGCGAGGTGCACCTGCTTGATAAGGTGTGCGAGGAATATAGAAGAATCCGCCTAAGAATTAGCCAAAATGATCCGCGTGAGAGGTAGGCTTTCAAGGAAGACTGGATCGAAAACTCAGTTGCGGAACAGGGGGGCTCTTGCGCATTGTATCCGACTTCAGATAATGAGCTTCAGACACCAGTTTGCGTCAGTAATTTTAATTGCAGCCAGATCCCAAAATTATTACCTCGTTAAAAGATATTGAAACAGATTTATGAAACATTTCATTTTGTTTAACTTAATTTTTGTTTGTTAACCGTTGACAATTGTCACTTTGTACCACTTTCAAAACGTTTCTCAACAGCTCGCTCTCCTTGCAACATGGCGGCCAGCGTCTGGTGTCCATGCTGTTCAAACGTGCAAAAGTGCCCGTGCTGTGGTCACGTGGTTCGTGACGTAAACTTGTGTTGCACTGAACGAGTAAAAATCGGTGCGCCGGAGGAACTCACCCATGCATTTCCACCATGGCGCGGATCACTGCCTGAGGGCAGTCTTCCCGCTTGAAATCCCGTACCCCAAATAATGAAATGGATGTTCTGTTCGCTTGTTAGGCCACGAAGTGTTCATGATCAAGCTTGCTCGAGGGTACAACGAAAACCTCTTCAAGGAGGACCTGAAGGTGCTGTACCAGAAGTTGGGCGTGGAGAACCTGAGCACCGTCTTCCTGTTCACGGCGGCGCAGGTGGTGGAGGAAGGTGAGTTTGGTGCTGATGCGGTTGCGGTTCTCAGTCTTTTCTTCCCGTCAGCAGAGCGCTTATGACACAGGGCTTGAAGGAATACAGAAGAATCGCCAAAATGACAGTTTCCCAAAACAAGTTAAACATCACATTCATTCAGAACGTATCCCTCCGCCGGCGACACTGTTCAGCCGCACTCACGCTTCGTAAATGGTTTATGTTTGTGCATGGCTCCGTTTAAGACATCATGACTTCCAATGTTCAAAAACCGTGTTTTATATATACAAAAAATCTAAATTGATAAAAAGTAAAGCACGGATTGACGAAAACGCTTCTCGATCACAGTATCGCCAACTCACCGCTCAGGACTCGACGAAACACGTGCACCAGTACGAGTCTTACATTCAAGACTCGACTTCAAATAAAACATAATTACCTTATCACAACAAAAAAGTAAATTCAATGAAATGTTTATTAAAATAAATTTAGAGAAAAGCACCGATAGCACAGAACCATCCTAATTCTCAAATTATTTCTCTGGGGGCACCTATATTTTCGGCGGACGAGACATCAAACACAAGGGAAAGCGTTGAAGCTATTTACAAGTCACCAAACTGCAAAAACGAAACGGAATGGGAGGAAGGAAAGTTTCAATGGGGGGCTGGAGGGACACGACGCAGCACAGAACCTTCAGTTATTTTTGGCCACAACTCGCTTCAAAAATGGTTCCTTCTTATATAAATATTCTCTATGCTCGTGCGTTGTGCGCAGAACCGGAAAATAGAGAAGATGAACTCGCCTTCGCGGTCTTTGGTTACCGGAAAGCAGATGGCCTCTTTAGCCACACCACTCTTTTACAGAAGTCCTAGGGCACAAACTCGAACTTGTTTGCTCCGTTGCCGTCATCAATTCCCCCAACAATCTTGTTTTTCATATTTTCACTCGTCGTGTGCTGTGGTGAAGACATGAGTCATCTGGTTATATCCTTTAAATCTCTGTGGCCATTTTTATTTAGACACTCATGCCTTTCAAGAGTAGTGTTGAGTTATGCCGCGGAAACTACGTACAGGGTCCAATTCTTTCAGTTTTCGGATCCCCGAAAGATGAATCAGTAGAGGCGGCGTTGCTTCTGTCCTCAAGTAGCCACACGGTCTCAAGGATCAGTTGATTAATTACGTTTGTGGGCGCGTCAACCGCTGAGGTCTTTAGTACTTTCGTTTGTGTTAATGCATTATTCTTAAGATTTGCGGTGCTCCTTCCCGCTGCAAGGTGCAAACTGCAGCATGCAGCTGCTCTGCACGCTGTCTGCCGGGAGATTTCCCCCTCCAGATGACACATTACATTTTTTCGTAAATATAAGTGGTTTTCATGTAATTTTGTGTGAAATAATGCAATAATGCAATTCTCAAAAATGTCTCCAAATTATTTTCTCTAAGTGTTTCTTTAATTTTTGAAGACCTTTAAGAAATCAGATAGATTATTTTGTGAAGGTATCTATAGAAAGATTCGTGTAGCTAAATGTTGGTGGGGGTAATGTTGCAAATTACTCTTTGTATGAGCTATAGTTTCTAAACCAATGGCGTGTGAATCAGGTAAAGTTGTCATGTTTAAAGGTTTCAGGATCATTCAAATGTAAATACTTGTATAGTGTCAGTGTCTAGAAAATATTTTGAATTTTAAATTTTTTTAAATTTCATATAACTAAAAATTCAATCTACGTCATTGTTATTAACTTATATTGTACTTCAACAACTTTAAGGGGGAAAATTTGAAAAATTTTGAGAATGCCCTCGAGGTTTCTTGTAAAGTACTGAAAAAAAAATTATATTCTCCGTACTGTGTAAGGTTTGTGCGCTTGTGTCATTCACAGGAAGACTGTCTTGTACGGAATTTCGAACAAATCAACTTGACTGCCATCAACCCCTCCAAAGTCTATTTTAATTATATTACAGGAAAGTAACATACAATGAACATGCGAGTTAAAAACAGTCGGTAGATAGAGCACTCAAAACATGTTTTTCTGCCAAATTTTGTCACAATTTTCTGTAGTCTTTTTCGAAGGGAATATTAGAAGAAATAAAATGCACTTTTTTGGCCAAATGGTGTGGTTCAATTAAACCTCTTCTTTCGCAGGGTTTCTGGAGTTGATCAACAATATCCTAATGATTGGGATGATACCGACGCTGTTCGGGGAGGAGGACAAAGACACCATCACGGGCTCCCTCAGGACGAAGGCACAGGAGGCTGGATTCGGCATCACCAAGTACCCTTCTTCTGCTTCTTTTGCTTATTAGCTAACTTCACCCTCCTCTTCTTCTTCTTCTTCTTCTTCTTCTTCTTCTTATTATTATTATTATTATTATTATTATTAGTTTCCATTTCCTCTTTATTCACTTGCGTCTCTTCCAAAATTACGATTATTGGAATTGCTATTACAATAAAATCTGCCTAAGCCGGAAACCTGGCTTAACCGGAAAATTTCTCTTATGCAATAAAATGGCATTTTCCACAGCATAAATCGGAGCTTCTCCAACACGGAAACGGAACAGTCTTTCATGCTCTGCAGGGGAAAAAATTTATAAAGCGGAATTCCCGCGAATTCAACACGATTGACAGAGACATGAGATATTCTTTATGTAATGAATGCATCTGAAAGTCGAAATCTCTCTGCTCCTGTTACATGCGTTTCAGTTGTTAATAACAGTTTTAAACTATTACTTTAAGAGAGGATTGAAAATGATGAAGAAGCTGATTGTTCACGTTCGAAGTGAGTGGACACGGGCGTATGCGAGCGTGGGTGCACGAGATATTTAAGGAGAAGGGTACCATGTATACCACCCATGTTAAATTTTCTATTATTGATGTACATTTTATAGATAATAGTTAACAAGATAAGTATTTAAAAGTCTGTACTTGCTACTGCTAAGTAAGAAATTTTCCTTCACCAAATACTGGATCATGATTTTCAGAGGAAAAGACTAATATTACCAAGGTATGAAGAAGTGTACGTTAAAATAACTCCTTAACCACCCAAAATTACGAAATAATGATATCCATATTACGATATTTAGATATGATTTAAGGTGATTTCCGAAGGACCTAGAAGAAAATGTTAATATATTTCTAAGGAGTGAAGATTGACCTATTCTTTAGCCAAAATCATAAGCCATATTAAATAGTGTAAATATAAGCCATATTTAGCTGATTTAGTCAACAAAAGGCGAGAGGTTTTCTTCCTAAAAGAAAACGACACCTGTGCTGCTTTACTTTCATTTGTCATCGTTCACTTATCAGGGAGAACGTGTGGGCCTTCTTCTGCGAGCGCTGCAGCGACAACCTGCACGTGGTGCTCTCCATGAGCCCCTCGGGCGACATCCTGCGCAGCCGCTGCCGCAGCTTCCCGGGACTCGTCAACAACACCACCATCGACTGGATCTTCCCCTGGCCCGAGCAGGCGCTCATCGCCGTGGCCAGCGTCTACCTGGCAGAGGTACTCCCTGCCTCCCCTCGCACTTTGCCTCTGGCCACTACACTGGACCTTATCAGGGCTCGTCAACACCACCGCCATTGACTGGGATTTCCCCTGGTCTATCGATGTGTGGTACCCGGAAACCTGAAATGCTCACTCATTGCGTTGTTGGCGTGCCTCGTTTGGTGAGGGGTTAGCTTTCTCGTCTCTGTGTGAGCGGATTCGATTCTGGCCGAGGTGTGTGAATTTTTGAAAAGCTGCAGTAGCTTTGTCGCTCTGTGGCATGTACTATTAAAAGAAACCTGCCAGTTGTCCAGTAAAATTAAATCCCTTCGACAATCTCCCGCCATAACCAGATCTCACTTCCTTTCAACCAGATAGATCTCATATAGTTAACTGAGACCAACATCTTGGCGGAGAAAGTGAGAGTCAAACCTCAGGCCACCGGGGGATTGCCCACGAAGCGCGCCTGCTCGATAAGGTGCCCAGGCCCGCGTCGGAGGTAGGCTTCTAAGGAGTCGTGAGTCGAAAACTCAAGTGAGGAACATTGCCGAAGGGCATGCTCTTGTCTAGAAGTCTCGGACGTTAATTAAATAAATAACTGCGTGTGTGTAACCAGAACGCGCAGATCCCCATGCTGTTCCGGCTGAGCATCGTGAAGCACGTGGTGGCCGTGCACCGGTCCGTCATGTCGTACACGGAGCAGTTCCTGCTGGTGCTGCGCCGCAAGAACTACGTCACGCCCAAGCACTACCTCGACTTCATCAACACCTACCTGCGCCTGCTCAAGGAGAAGATCGTCTACATCAACGCGCAGGTACGACTAACGTCACTTGCGGGCACACGGCGGCCACTGAGTTCCCAGGGTTACACTCCCGAGACGGAGGCAGCATTTCCAGCCGCTGTGTGGAGGAGAATTCTAGCGGCCGGCTGCTCTGATCGGAAGTTTTCCGTGGTTTCTCCGATCAACACCAAGTGAATGCCGGAGCAGTGCGCTAACAAACGGACCATGAACCACACGCTCTTTTTCACTTTTTTTCTACTTCTTTTAAACTCACGTGCGCTACAATACTACCCATGCGACCAATTCGAAGTTTAAACTTTATCCCGGCTGGAACGGTGCCCCTCTTGTGGGAGATACCTGTTTGAGGAAAAAACCACAAGCCGTCTTGTGGTTCGTCGTCGGTTCTTGTCATTCAGGAGGAGATCACCGCCACGAAAAGTATGCACTACTATTATAGGACTAATTACCATTTTTGTTGACTCCCTGCAAACTCTGCGGGAATAAAATGCGAAATAAATGAATGGATGATGTATACAATGAAACAATTATGATTTTTTGCACCAAGAATTATAGTTCTTAAATTTATGCTTTTTCCCTTCAGTTATTCGGTAATTTATTCAGCTGCTCCTCCGTTGATTTCGCCAGTAATTCCTGTATAAATAATAATAAATTCAATTCAATAATAAATTGTCGAAGGCCTTGTCATTCGCGGGTGAAAATTACTGGATACAAACTTCAAAATTTAATCGAAGAATGTAACATATTAGCTACCAAATTTGAAGCCGTCACTTTCTCAGGATCTAACCATGTCATATTTGAATCAGTTCTTGACACTATATATTCGATACTATAATATATACTATATATATTCGATAACCTTTAATTATTTAAACTGCAATTTGTCTTATTTATTAGAACAAAACACATAAATCAAATTATATTCGAAAAAAACGACAATAAGAAAATAACAAAATAATACCAAACGACAGACCCAAGTAAATTCTATCAATCATTGGCTGCCTCTTTGTCAATATATGGCTGCGAAAAATGATCTTAAATAGGGACATAGAAGAGAAGAGTTGAAACATGTGAAATGCATTTCCTACGGTATGTTCCTGTTGCCATTTACTGTGCGCGTCAGTGCCGGCGCTTGACGGGCGGGATGGCGAAGATCGCGGAGGCGCAGGTGCAGATCAACCTCCTGAACGCCAAGCTGGAGAAGCAGAAGGTGCGCGTGGCCAAGAAGACGCAGGTGTGCGAGGAGATGCTGGTGCTCATCAAGGAAGGTGAGCCACGCACTCGCCTCGCCGCCCACCACCGGCATTAGACGCACTTATATAGACAAACACAAATACACCCATGCCCGAGCGAATATATCTCGAACCAGCGATCTTCTGGTCCGAAACCGCTACGGCTCTGTTGCCTCAGCTATCTGAGCGATTATTATTATTATTATTATTATTATTATTATTATTATTATTATTATTATTAATACGATCCTACATTCCTCAATTGTCTTTCCTACGAGTTCATACAACTCGTACAAAATTCGTATATCGTAACAACTATCTCTGCGGAGGTCAAACCGCCTTGCCCAACAGTCAAGCTCAGAGAAGTATAGTACAACCATGCGTACTGTAAAGAGGGGACTCAATTTTTGTGGTGGGGGTATGTATGATAAAGGTCTGCAGCTAATCGGCTAAACTGAACTTCAGCTACATCACGTGGCGAATGAAGAAAACGTCCGTGTTTGATTTCTTGGACAATGGCAGCCAAACGCATGTGACATCGCAATGCAAACTACAGTTACTTACTCACCCTAATAGTTGTTTGAAATTTATCAAGGTGCTTCTTGCCACAAGGTGTAAGGTGCAATGAACATTATGACCAAATACACGACATTTCACCTTAAATCTAATATTATGATACATATGACGGAACGTTTGCTCTTTTGTTGACTGTTCAAATGCAATCTGTGAGTGGAGTTTCAAAGAAAATATTCCAAAATATATTTTATGGACAAGTTGGTCTAGTCGCTTTGTTATTAACCGAAAAATGCCTAGATAAGTTCGTTCAGTGACCGCATGATGAGGTTGAAGCTAAATGTGTACGATTACTTGGCGACATTTTCCGTACATAGCGTTATTGAGCCTGCGACACTATAGTTGAGCCTCCGAGCGTATAACTATTTTTGCTCGCCCTGCACCGGACCAGTTTGCGTCACGAATACGTGATCACAACATAGATACTTTCTTTGATAAGCCAGACCAGACGCTTTCCGCCATGTTGCATGGAGAGCGAGAGATATTGAGAAATATTTTGAGAGTGGCATAAGGTGAGGATTTTCAACTTTTCAATGTTGCAACTTTTATTTCAATTAGACCGTTATCGTATAACTTTTCGTTAAAAATTGTCACTTTATGCCACTTTTAAAATGTTACTCATGACTTCTTGCTGACCATGCAACATGGTCGGCCACCATCTGGTGTGGGTTTTCAAACGAAGTACCCGTGCAGTGATCGCGTGGTTCGTGTCGCAAGCTGTTGCCGTGCAGAAGGAGTAAAATTCAGTGCGACGCGGAAACCCACCCGCCTGTTTGCTGCACGCGCTTAGCGACGGAGGTGGCGACGGAGACGAGCCAGCAGGCGGAGGTGAAGAGCCGCGAGGTGGCGGAGAAGAAGGAGGTGATCAGCGTGGAGAAGGAGGAGGCCGAGGTGATCCTGGCGGCGGCGCTGCCGGCGCTGGAGGCGGCGCGCAAGGCGCTGGAGGACCTCGACAAGAACGACATCGTCGAGATCAGGTCACCTGCCCATCACTAGCTCTTCATAGACGTAATGCACCTGCTCATCACCTCCACACCACTCGTCCTTCATATAGTAATGCAGCCGCACATCACCTCCACATTACTCGCACATCACTCGCAGTTCGTAGTCGTATCCTCACATCACTCCCTCATAGCAGTTCATAATTCGCACCTCATCTGAGATCAGGATAAAAATAGTGACTCTAGGGCTACAACAGGGTCACGCGAATACATCAAGCTGAATTTTGTGGGAAAAGCATTTAGAATGAAATTTTATTATTGACAAAATCGTAGCAAATCCAATGATTTAACGATTACACATTGTACTTAAACTCATTCGGCTAGAAAATCGTAGGGACCCAAATGGTCTCAATAATGAACTCCATCCCTTGTAATCCTGTTAAATGAAATCAAATCGCAAAAATTGACTACACGGTCTCGCAACGCTATAGACTCTTCCCTACCGGACGTCAACATTGATGAGTGTCGTCTTCCGTGATATAGCGACGCAAAATAGTCAGATCTCGTAGCTGGATCACACACATATGTACGATTTGCCATAGACTTTCTGCTTTCTAAAATGCGTACTATTACTACTGAATTGAAACCCCAGAATATTCGGTAAATTCGCTCATAATGCCTCATCGCAAATATTGTGATTTTTTGGCTTACAGACAGTCAATCCACCAAAACAAAGTTTCAAATTACGAGTAAGTAAAATGTAGGATCTGTGAGATGGAAGAGGAAGATTGGGAACCTATTTTAGAGAGATGTTGTGTATTTTAGGAAGGAAGAATGTAGAAAAGATATAATAGATAGGACAAGAATAAGAGGATATTAGAGGAGAAACAAAGGTGAAAGGATTAGTATGGTTGATAAATACAGGAAAGTGCTTAGTATGTAGCGAATAATTGTACATTTAGTTTGTAGAGAATTGTTATATATTAGTATATATGTATGATCTTATTGTATACTATTTACCAAATGCAACTGTTTTATTTACCAAATTATAAAATAAATTCATTCACGAAGGATACAAACAGCCATAGCAGTTGCGGTGGTTGTGGGCGATTCGCGCGCTGGCTGAAGAGCTAAAGAGCGGTGGGCGAGGCGCACGCTAAACCGAAGGGCTAAAGGGCTGTGGGCGAGGCGCGCGCCGGGCTGAATGGCTAAAGAGCGGTGGGCGAGGCGCGCGCTGGGCCGAAGGGCTAAAGGGCTGTGGGCGAGGCGCGCGCTGTGCTGAAGGGCTAAAGAGCGGTGAGCGATGCGCGCGCTGGACTGAAGGGCTAGAACTTCCGGCTAAGTTATTCAATACTCGAAACCTCTACCGTACCGCTAGAACAGGACCTTGAGGTACACCTTGCTTTCCGTTCAAATATGCGTCGCGATGTATTTAAAACTTTCTACTCCTGTACCCTACAAGTGGTAAAAAATTAATCCGAGTGACTGTACATACGCGTAGAGTATGGAAAAGGACACTGAGGTGCGCCTTGACGTTGCGTATCTGCGTCTGTCGATGAGGTCGCAGTTCATCTCCTGAGCGGAGCGCAGGAATTGTGTGTCTCATCATCCTTTTGCCGTCTTCCAGCTGATGTCCTTGTAGCCTCGCAGGATGGCCACGCTCTCGCACACCGTCTGCACCGGCTCAGGCGGTGTCGTGAACACCTGCGCAACCGCCTCTAGCCCTTTCAGACAGCGCGCGCATCGCTCCACCGCTTCTTTAGCCCCAACCACTGAAACTGCTATGTCGTTTCGTACCCTTCGTGAATGAATTTATTTTTACAAGTTGGTAAAATAAAACAGTGCATTCGGTAAATAGTATACAAAAAGATCATACATATACGATAAATATATAACATTCTCTACGAACTAAATGTACAATTATTTGCTACATACTAAGCACATGCAGCATCCTGTATTTATCACCATACTAATCCTTTAAACTTGGTTCTTCTCTAATATCCTCTTCATTTTGTTCTACTCATTATATTTTTCCACATTCTTCCTTCCTCAAAAACCGAGATCTCTCTATAAATATTCCGTTCCCAATCTTCCTCTTGTATCTCTCAGATCCTACATTTTACATACTCGTAATTTGTAACTTTGTTTTGATGATTGACTGTCTGTAAGACAAAAAATCACAATATTTGCAGTGAGGCATTATGAGCAAATTTACGGTGTACTGAGGTTTCAATTCAGTAGTAATAGTACGCATTTTACAAGTAGAAATATATGGCAAATCGTACATATGTGTGTGCTCCAGCTACGAGATCTGACTATTTATGTATATTCACAAGCTATTTGCGACGCTATATCAGAAAGAGACACTCATCAATGTTGACGGCTAGGAAGATCCTTAGCGTTGCGAGACCATATCGTCAATCTTTGCGATTTTGATTTCATTTAACAGGATCACAAAGGGATGAAGTCCATTATTAGACAATTTGGGGCCCTACGATTTTATAGCCATATGAGTTTAAGTCTAATGTGTATTAGTTAATTCGTTGGATTTGCAACGATTTTGTCAATAAGAAAATTTCATTCTAAATGCTTTTCCCACAATTTCAGCTTGATATATATGCATGACCCTGTCGTTAGCCCTAGTGACTAGCCTAGTCACTATTTTTATCCTGATCTGAGATGAAGTGCGAATTTTGAACGAGTGATGAATGCTATGAGGAGTGATGTGAGGATACAGACTACGAACTGCGATGATGGCGAGTAATGTGGAGGTGATGTCGGCTGCATTACTTTATGAAGTGCGACTGATTAGAGGTGATGGCAGGTGACCTAGATCTCGACGATGTCGTTCTTGTCGAGTCCTCCGCGCCTGCGCGCCGCCTCCAGCGCGCAGCGCCGCCGCCAGATCACCTCCGCCTCCTCCTTCTCCACGCTGATCACCTCCCTTCTTCTCCGCCACTCGCAGCTCTTCACCTCCGCCTGCTGGCTCTCTCCGTCGCCACCTCCGTCGCTAAGCGCGTGCAGCAAACAGGCGCGGTGTTTCCGCTGTCGCACTGAATTTTACCCTTCTCGCACGGCAACAGCTTGCGACACGAACCACGCGATCACTGCACGGGTACTGCGTTTGAAAACCCACACCAGATGTGGCCGACCATGTTGCTGGTCAGCAGAACTCATGAGTAACATTTTAAAGGCATAAAGTGACAATTTTAACGAAAAGTTATACGATAACGGTCTAATTGAAATAAAAGTTGCAACATTGAAAAGTTGAAAATCCTCACCTTATGCCACTCTCAAGATATTTCTCAATATCTCTCGCTCTCCATGCAACATGGCGGAAAGCGTCTGGTCTGGCTTATCAAAGGAAGTATCTATTTGTGATCACGTATTCGTACGCAAACTGGCTCGGTGCAGGCGAGCAAAAATAGTTATACGCTCGGAGCTCAACTATAGTGTCGCAGGCTCAATAACGCTATGTACGGAAAATGTCGCCAAGTAAATCGTACACATTTAGCTTCAAACTCATCATTGCGGTCACTGAACGAACTTATCTAGCATTTTTCGGTTAATAACAAAAGCGACTAGACCAACTTGTCCATAAAATATTTTGGATATTTTCTTTGAAACTCCACTCACAGATTGCATTTTGAACAGTCAACAAAAGAGCAAACGTTCCGTCATATGTATCATAATATTAGATTTAAGGTGAAATGTCGTGTATTTGGTCAATATGTTCATTGCACCTTACACCTTGTTCCAAGAAGCACCTTGATAAATTACAACAACTATTAGGTGAGTAAGTAACTGTAGTTTGCATTTTGCGATGTCACAGCGTTGGCTGCCACTTGTCCAAGAAATCAAACACGGACGTTTTCTTCATTCGCCACGTGATGTAGCTGAAGTTCAGTTTAGCCATTAGCGCAGACCTTTATCATAACATACCTCCACACAAAATTGAGTCCCCTCTTTACAGTACGCATGGTTGTACTACACTTCTCTGAGCTTGACTGTTGGGTAAGCCGTTTGGACCTCCGCAGAGATAGTTGTTACGATATAAAAACATAACAATTTTGTACGAGGATTATGAACTCGTAGGAAAGACCATTGAGGAATGTAGGATCGTATTAATTAATAATAATAATAATAATAATAATAATAATAATAATAATAATAATCGCTCAGATAGCTGAGGCAACAGAGCCGTACGTTTCGACCAGAAGATCGCTGGTTCGAGATATATTCGCTCGGGCATTGGTGTATTTTGTGTTTGTCTATATAAGTGACGTTCTAATGCCGGTGTGGGCGCGAGGCGAGTGCGTGTGCTCACCTTCCCTTGATAGCACACCAGCATCTCCACGCACACCTGCGTCTTCTTGCCACGCGCACCTTCTGCTTCTCCAGCTTGGCGTTCAGGAGGTTGATCTGCACCTGCGCCTCCGCGATCTTCGCCATCCCGCCCGTCAAGCGCCCGCACTGACGCGCACAGTAAATGGCAACAGAACATACCGTAGGGAATGCATTTCACATGTTTCACTCTTCTCTTCTATGTCCCTATTAAGATCATTTTTTCGCAGCCATATATTGACAAAGAGCAGCCACATGATGATAGAATTTACTTGGGTCTGTCGTTTGGTATTATTTTTTAT